CAGGATTCCGTACAGAGGAAGGGATCATGCGGGAGTAAGCTTTATGTTCCCTGTACAAACTCTTCTCCCCAGGAGGAAACACTCAAAGTTGATATTATGGCCCCTGATTCCAATGGTTGCTCCCTCAAATAATTCAGATCCTGGTAATAACAATAGTTTTAAAGCTCTGCAGTACACCCGGTATCATCTCAACCTTAAGTGTTAGAAAAACAGATACGATTATGGTAAAGTAACTGTTTTAAAGAAAGGATTATTTTAAAGAAGGACATAGAAGCGGTTCCTATATCTGTTCATCTCAATATATTCCTGCAAGGTGCTGGAAATTTTCCGTGCACAAAGTACTGTAGGAAGAAAAGAAGCTACAGGTATTTTACTTGCCAGAAGATGGCGATATAGTCTAATTATTTAAAGAACGGAAGCCTCTACAAGGTTTTTGTTCGTTTTTTGTTTTTGAATTTAAAGCCTAAGCTTCAAGAACAGAAAAGAGGTGAGATTTTTATGTCTAGAGGCAGATGAGCAGAATACGTCAATTAAAAGGCAAGAATTAGGATTTAACAACAACAACGAAGCGGTTTTTTTACGAATGGCCGAGTGAAGCAGCAACAGCGCCACCTGTGGGCTTGTTAGTGAAGCAGAATTTCAGGGCCACTCCCTGACTCCTGAGTCGGAATCTGCATTTTAACATGATCCCCAAGCAATTCATATGCTTGTTAACGCTTGAGAAGAAAGTCCATAGTTCTGAACATCAGCTATGCAAAGAAATAAACTGGGGCGCTTGTACCAGTTAAGGGGTCCTACCTTCCCAGAGTGTGTTTAATTAGTATGGAGTGAAGAAGACATCACCAAGTTTTAAAAGCTGCCCAGGTTATTCTGCTGTACGGCGAGGGTTGAGAACCACTGCTCAAAGCTAAGAGATGAGCAGTCTTAAAGATATAAAGGCAAGCCAAGATGCTATTCTCTGACTCTCCCTCTCCCCCTCGCAAAAACAAAAAAATCAATGAATATCTATCTCAAGTTCTCACCTGCTGTGTTCCCTGCACAAGCCCCAGGTATCCTCAGAGACTCCAAAATGACTCTGAAGATGTTTCTGTAAGTGTTCCACAAACCACCCACATCAGAATCTCCTGAGATGCTCACTAAGTGTTGACATTCCTGGGCCTCGCCCGCCGTATTAGATTTTCTGGGATAGGGAGATTTTAATAAGTGTCTCAGAGTTTTTTATTTACACAAAAATTTGACAACCACTGGACCAACTGGAAGGGAGAAAGAGTCACATGTTCAAACAGAATCTACCTGGAAGAGAACAATAATTTTGGACTAAAGTTTCCTGAATTTTCTTGATACTGAAAATTTCTGAATGAAGAATTATAATGAGTATTTTAAAGGTTCTTATGTCAGACCACCATGATGTGTGGGTCATGTTACCGGTCTCAACTTGCCTATCAGGTAGGTAAAAGTGAACAGTCTCCCTTCTCAAAACAGAGCTCCACACTATGTAAGCTTTGAGCGCAGAAAACTCCAGAAAAAAGAACTTCGGAGGAAAAGGGATACATCCTCCCAATTTCCCCTTCTAGGAGTTCACTTGCCTCGTTTTCATGGCCAGCCTTTCTTTTCCTTCCTCACTTTGTCTCAACTATGGCTCATTCAGGTTAGAGATAGAAAGGGGGTGCGGGGCCAAAGTGTGGAGGAAATGGGATTCAAGGGAGCTGAAGAACGAGAAATTTTCTTCCTGTGATTCCATTTTGCCCAATGAGGAAGACTTAATTCACTCTCTGACTCCCACTTCTACAGCTGAATCTGTCCTCACCGGCAATGTTAAGGGCACATTACAGACACGGTTTGGGAAAAGGCTCGTCCCAGCAGGAGTGAGGCCATCTCAGATTATGACTCTTCCCTGCCCACTACAATCGGGGGATCAAGCTGAGCCTTCCTAAGACCGAAGATGGGAACACAAATATACTAAGCAGCTGGAGGTCAGTTGGAGTGATTCTAATCGTATGTACGTAGCTGTTTGGGTTTCTTTACAGCTTTCTCGACATTTCACGCTGTGCTTAGAGACAATGTTCTTCAGATTTATTAGGCTTAGTAAAGAATTCTATTTATAGAGGAAGTATACAGAAATTCAGTTATGTGATATTCATTTTTATTTGGTTAGCCATACTTCTGAGAATCTTAGATATTCTGGATGTGACATCATTAAGGCAACACATTCACCAGCCAAAATGCATAAAATGACAGCAAAGTCATTAAGTCTTTTGTCTCTAATAACTGGGTATTTTTTGTATTTGCATATCTCACTGTGATCTCAGATTCCTCTAACACACCTCAACCTCTTTCCCCAAATAATCTTTCCCATTCCTGAAAACCCATGAATAACAAAGCCACTGTCTAGGTAATCTGTTGTAAAATCTTAATGCTTTACTTCCCTTTGTATATTCCATTCATTCATCTGTCCATCTATCCATCCATCCACACGTCCATCCATTTAGTCCATTTGTCCACTGACCCAGTCATCATCCACTCATTCATCCATGAGCCACCCAACCACCCACCCATCCATCTGCTCAATCTATCTATCCATTGACCTACCCATCTATCCAATTTATGCTGAAGTTTATGTGAACAGCCTCCTGACTTACATATATTCTCAGCGTGTCAAATTAATTTTTCTTAAAGATGCTTATGTCATATTACTCCTTTGTTCAAAATATAAAATATTTTTCAAACAAAAAATAAAAACTTAAAACAGCAAAAAACTAGTTTCCATCATCCAAATCCAAAATCCTCAGCCATGTTTTAAGACACTGGTTCATTCCAATCTTTACCTAATCGCATTTCTAATAACTTAATATGAATGCTCTACTCACCATACTGTCCTCAAAATGAATCATTTTCACTAAGACATTCGTTCTTCTATTAGTGTTATTTATTATACAATTATTCGTTTACTACTATATGCCGTGAACTGGAAATCGGAAGTTCAAAGGTGCCACCCTGGGTATGACAGAGCCTGCATCTCAGCAGCACAGACATGCGCAGAGAGCTTGCGCTGCACCTCACATAGTACCAAGGGCTGTGGGAGCACGATGCTCAGGGAGATGAATTTTGAGAAACGGCTCGGAAAGGTGCTATTGAGCCTTAAAGGATAAGCAGGAATTTGCCACAGTAGAGAGAAGGAAAGGGGCATTACTCCAGCCCTCTCTCCTCTGCGTGACCAAGTAGGATCCTTCTTCTATTTCGGCTATTTCCATGGCACCATTTCCTTATCACTCCCAAGTCACTGCTGGCCTCTAAAATTCGGCAGCACTTGTGGTCTGATCCACTCAATTTAGAACTCACATATAGTTAATGTTGTTTGAAATTATTTTTCCCATTTGGCCCTTTTGTGTCATTAACAAACAAGATGTCCTTAGAAAATCCACTTAAGTTTCTTCTGCTGTTTCCTAGTTAGTGAAGTAGGAAGCAACATTAGATCACCCCTGAAGTCCCCATCATTAATAATTTAGACAGAGATTAGAATAGGAACGGGCTGTATCTTTACTGAACTGTCTGCTCCTCAAAGGCAGGGATCACCTACAAGCTTCTGCATGTCCTAGGCAAAAAAGCTTATAATGACTTTATATAATGGCTGTCATGATAAAATATATTTGGCATTAATTAGCATGCGGTGCTCAGGTGGCCAAAATCATGGAGTCAATTACATTAGCTTTGCTCCATTCCATGGTCCCTAAACACAGCCCACACCTCATCAAGCTTTAGGAGACCAGAGCTGGGGTGGGGGAGGGGAGCAGTATGGTTCAGGGCAAACTGCATGTTGCTCCTAAGAGGCACCTCTGCAGGTTTAGGGTCCTCACCATCACTACGTGAAGATCACTCAGCAACTCAAAAAAGTGGAAGGTTGAAAATAGATTATTTCTTTCCTTACAACACATTTCTTTACCCTGTTCTCTACAATGTTAATAGGGATTTTTAATAGCAAATTATCAAGAATTTTGAAGAAAAAAAAAAGGAAGAAAGGAGAAATAATATTTTCTTTATTATAAGCTCCCATAAAAGAAGTTCTACTATAATCAATGAATTCTGGAAAAGACCTATTATCTGTAGTAATAAGAACATCATCTTGGACTACTGGGTCAATTCTAATTAGACGACCCCCCTCTTTCTATGGGGTAACTAAACAGTTTCAAATCTTTAAGTCGTATTGTGTGAAACGTCAAGGAATGTTGTCTCAAAGTGTACACAGAAAATGTCTTATCATCCAATCTCACATGAAAATAAGAGAAAATCAAAACCCACAGAAGAACGTTGATAAAGAAGCTTCAGAGAATGGGAAGGGAAATTTGATGAAAAGAGAAAGACCTGGATTCCAGCTCTTTGTCCTTCAAAAAGCTGTGGTACTTTAGGTATGTCACTAATCTTAAGTTTTCTAAGGCTATTTCTTTATTCTCAAATGAAGTTAATACTAATCACATCATCGGATTTGAGTGAGGAGCAAACGAAACCTGTTTTTTTGATCATTTTGATAGCATTGGTGGTGCTTGTTGGTCATTATCATGGATGAGGACTCCTCATTCTCTCTTTCCTCTGAGGTTAGTAACAAAAGTCACCAGGTCTAAATTACAACAGAAAGACATACAAATAAGTTCATAAGTTAGGAACAAATAAGTTCCTAACTCTGAGAGTTAGGAAACCCTGAAACGTATTAACTAAGAGAGATTGTGGAATGACCTTTCTTGAGAATCGGTAAGGAACGTGTTGGCGGTCAAGTTTCTGCATGTCTCTGCCATAGTCATCTGTGGAGGCAGAGGGACAAACCAAACAACCTTCAGGCTTCACCCAGCCCTGTAATGTATAAGGCTGTCAATGACCTTGTCCGTCAGAAGCTGGTTGTCTTCCACTGCTTCGGGTCCTAAGTGGCGCTATTTTAACAGATGCTGAGAATCCTGTGTTTTCGAGAAAGCATTGTAGCTTCCAGGTTAAACTCATGAAAAATGACTCACCTGGTTGCCTCCACTCTTGGGGTTCACAAACACAAGCAAGGGTTTCATGAGAGGAGAAGAGACTGGTTTTATCACAAAGGGACGGCCTTTGTTTTCCTGC